CGTGCCGCCCGACGTGCGCCCTTGGCTGCCTTCCACTGTTACCACCGCACTCATCTGAAAGTAATTAAATAGCAAGTAACATATATTTTTGTATATTGATGAATAATTATTAAACTAAACAACGATGTTTCGGTTACATTTCTTAATTTTCTTAAATTGTTTAAACCCAATAGACAAAAGCCTGGTCTGGCGCTCCACAAAGGGAGAGCCATAATTTATGGCCTATAAACGAGCAATTAAATTGAATTGAATTCTTCGCATTGACTTGAAACACTGATAAAAAATTAAGTACAGCAATATTTTTTACATTGTACTGCCTTTTGCATCAATTTTTATCGGATTTCGCTAATATTTACTTGTATAAGTGTTTATTGAAATGCGATGGAAAGTGGCATTTACCTGTTTGACAACAACTCGATAGATATGCGCGTAGAAAGCGGCGAGCAGCACACTGGGGGTGACGATTGTAGCGAAGTAAAGAAAGACGAGGTAGTTGTAGTCCATGACTTCGACGAAGTAACAACCGGGCGCTGCGTCCACCGCCGCGTGCCAGCCGCACAGCGGCAGCAGACCCACGCCTGCACCGAACACCCAGCACGCAGATATTATCCCTGCAAACATGGTGTTCGTATTAACTATCTCAACCCTTTTGCTGTTCAAGATTAGCTGTGAACAAAATGCTTCGACATCTAAATTTGTATTCTTAGCAGCGAATCGTGTTCTGTACCGAACTTCGCCAGTGAAAATAGTGTACTTCTTTTATAGAAATAGCTGTCAGAGCTAGTGGAATGGTGACCTTTGAAATCCATAAACGAAACACAGTTATCATCAAACGTAGTTCAAACAGTTGTACAAATATTTACCGTCGCGTCGCCTGTTATTTTATACTGCTATTCAACATACACATTCGAATATTGTATTGCAACAGAATAGTTTTCATTGCCTTTCGCTGTATTACTCATATTACATTATTTGTTTTACAACGATGTTATGCGAATACATTATTTTTATTATTGTTTTACTGTTCATTGTTATCTCTTAAACAGTACAGATGATTATTTAATTCTTGGTATTGCAATGTCGGAAACCGCGTCCTTAAAATATATATCCGCCCACAATTAAAATTAACGGGGATAATATGTTTTTTATGTTATAGACAATTAATCAATTAAAACGATAAAATATAATATAATTAAATCAAAAGTAAGTATTATAAAATGAAGGATAAAAGATGTATTTTCCTTGTACATGATAAATTTAAAAATAAATATAATCAATCAAGTATTCTGTAGCAAATAAATTAAAGAACTAATTACATTGTCGGAAGTAAATAAATATGTAAGAATCTACTAGTTTTATCTGTGATTTTTGAATGCTGTTTTGGTTTTTTTTTATCTATAGAATCTACAAACAAAATTCAGCGCAGATTTCTCTTTTCTGTAATACTTATTAACGTTTTATCAAGTATCATTGCTAAGTGGCATAACGAAATCTCTTGTTATCACAGATAGAAGTAATCAGTAAACCCCATTCACACGGTTACATTATCTATTGTCACACCTATTTACTTTTTTAATAATTCCACGAGTACATCAAAAATATACATCAAATTAAGTAAAAAGAACGTCAGTTCCATTGCTACCAACATGGCGGCCATTACAATTCACTTTTTCAGTTATGTTAGAAAACTTGTGAATTAAAATGACGTCATATTTTAAATAAGGTAATTAGTAATGCTACAGTTATTTAGTCATGCGATTAAAAGTATTTTAACAGTCTTGTAATTTTTTTTCAATATTTAAAGGCTTGGATTCGGACAAGTCTTTTTAATCTTTATAAAGAGGAGGGGGAATTTATCTCTAAAAAGACATGCCAGTCCCATAGTGCTCTTAGTGATTAGGAAACGAGCTGGCATAATCGTATAGCCGCGTTGTAGTAGCCTCAGCCAGTATAGTAATGCCAACAAGCCGGGGAACAAGTTTTTACTTTCAAAAAGGTGTTAATATTAACCTCATTATAAGTATAAAATGCGAATCGATAATTCTACTTTAACTGTTTACATTGTCACGCTAAGGCAAATTAAAACTGGCGTAGTCACATGCAGGTCAACGTCCAATAATAAGAGCTCTTTTTAATTTTTATGCACGCATACAATCACACGCAAAGTTTACTTTTCTAAGTTGATTTTGATGAACAAATATCTTAATCTATATCTATACTTCTATACTATTATAATAAAGCGTAAACACACACTTCTTTGTTGCCTAAGATGTCAGCAATTGCAGCATATCTTTGTTTAATTCTTTTTTTTATAAAAAGCCCTACACTTACGTCACGCTTTAGGCTATATATTTTCACGCCATTAAACTTATTTTGGATAAAAACCCTAATGTAGGAAAGAGACCATAAGTTGGTGCCAACATCAAGGAAGCAAGGTTGTCTTCATGTCAAGTCATTTTAACATTTGACAAACGTAAACAATAAAATAAAATTTTCATAATTTCATGCGAATGAAGACACACTGGAACAGCTAGTTTTATAAATATAGAAAATTCACATCTATTTAATGAGCGATTAGTTATTAACATAGTTCCCTCTTTGTTCGCAAAAAGTAACTACGCTACAAGGAAAACCAATCGATAAGACGTGGGTCTTTTTGAGTTGTAGAACTTGTTTTACCTTTCAAGGACAATTAAGATATACAAAATAAGATAATGTTATTTTAATTATAGGCAAGTATATTTAATTGTAAACATTAGCTTTGTGTATGAAATGTTAAAGAAATTTCAGATTGCAGCTCCGGTCGTCATGAAAGTATAGGTATTTTTACAAATGTAGCCGGCTAAAAAAGGTGAGTATTGACGTCACACCTTGAATAGTTACAAAAAAAATGATGTACAATAATTTTTCCTTCTTGATCCTCACTGGAAAATGTGCACATAAGTGGCAACCCTAATCGGTACACACTAGACGTAGACTTCGTATAACACAATGTTTGTACCATAGCTGTACTAGACGGTTGTTAAATTTCAAGTCAACAGAATTTATACAACGTCCAATTTGTACTATCCTTACACGTTAAATATTACTTGTTGGACGTAATTGTTTTTGCAATCCAATTGCAATACTCATGGCCGTATTTCCACTCTGATCTTGTACTATTATATAATGTTAAATGTAAACTATGTTGCATTACTGTTATATATTATTTCAACCTGCACGAGGACAAGGGCGGATCCAGCTTTAGCGCCAGGGGTCACATAGTCGAGGTCAAGTTAAGAGCTTGACAAAATGTATAAGTATATTTTGTCAAGCTCTTGATAATGAGTCATGACCCCCCATCGGAACTAGATCAGCCTTTGCACGAGGGATGAATGTTTTTATATGTTTTAACAGTAGAAACTCATGGTAACAATACCTTGCCTTTACAATGAAACACAATAGTGAGCAGTTGAAACTAATGAAAGTAAATTATAGTGAGGAAAAAACGACACTAACCAATGGTTAGTCATGCTTTTATAATGCAATTCGTCCTTTTATCATGGTGGATGTAAATTGTATTAATTTGAAGGAAAGATTGAACAAAGTTTGTGGAGTCAAGTGCTTAAATATTTCTATACGAGTTGTGGACGAATCGTATTTGATTAAAAACGTCAAACGATGATAATCATTTTGTTTGTCTAATACATAGACGTATGCCCTTGTATGTTCTATTTAAATGTTGATTTGAACAAAAATGAGATGGCCGACGCATCTCAGTGTACTTCACCGGTATCCATTATATAGCCTAACCGAATTTTTCAAACGTATATAATTGTAAACATTATCCTTGATGGGGAAAATTAGACATATAATAAAGCTCTAATTTAAAGTGGGTAAGCAGATACTGGCAGAATTCCATTACACACATGAACTGAATCTGACGCACCCCATTATGATGTCTGTACAACGCTCATTGGACAGTTACACCAATTCTCTTGTTACCGAAGCAGCCGCCATAATTTACCAGAAATGTATGTTTTTCTGTACACAAGTGTTCTCAGCTGCATTATTTCAATTTACGACACGCCATATTTTTCAATTCGTCGTGCATCAGTAAACTTGAAACAAAGTGCCGTCACCAATAAACAAACATTTTAAAACACAAATATTAATAGGAATGCAAAATATTGAATTTATTAATTACTAGCCTTCGCCCGCGACTGCGTCCGCGTGATATTAATAAATAACAAAAGTAAATAGCCTATGTGTTTTCCCAGACTATCCACTACACCTATACTAAATTTCAATGAGATCCGTTTAGCCTTTTAGGCTATAAACTCTAACAAACATCCATCCATCCAAACTTTCGCATTTATAACATTAATAAGAAGTAAGATTATATGTACATAAAAGTAATTGAAAAGTTTAAGTGGTTTTCATTTAAATATATGCAAACTTAAACAGCATGAACCAATCTACAGCGTAATCTATACTAATATATAGAGGAAAGTATTGGATTTTTGTATGTATTAAAATAACTCAAAAACTACTGGGCCGAATTAAAAAAATCTTACTACATAGCTACGTTATCAGTCAGTAACTTCACGTTATACGTTAATTTCACGCGGGCGAAGTCGCGAGCAGCAGCTAGTTTAACATAACTCGTTACTTGTAAAGTTTTTATAACACAAAACTCGAAAATATGAAGCGTATTTACCTTTCGTGTTTTGCATAATCCATAAAATGTAACCTCCAGTTAACCGTTAATTAGTTGTTCCGAAAACCATTAGGGAATTGATATTATTAGACCGAACGCGACAATTTACATAATATGATGCTCGCATTCTACGTAATTATATAATTAATTTTCTGTGACTAAATGTCTGTGTCAAATGTCTGATACCCGACTTGTATCATGTGGCAGTAATTCTCGAAATCCTTTTGTACAACGGACACTTGTTGGAACAAAGAATGTTTACCTTATCAACCTCTGTAGGGCTTGAACAATCATAACAAGTAATTCTAGGCCAGGTTTTATTTCAGTTTATGTCGCGTATCGTATTGCCGTGAGCTAAAAACATTACTCGTTTTTTGTGTCGTTTATTTGTCACCAACAATGTCCTAGTTTTTATTCCTAACAAATTTAAATCTTAGAAATTATACAACATGTCAGAAACAAAGTTTAATAATAAAAAAATACTCTTTATATAAATATCACATACAATAACACTTTGCAAAATGGTCTCAGATCTAAAGCTTGGTTATTTTACTTTATATTTATGAATACAAAATTGTATTTTATATTAAACTTTGATTTAAATCTTAAGATCGATTGAAGGCAAAATGACAGGTAAATGTGGAGGGAAGACGTCGAGGAAGTGTTACGGAGGACGGATTGTTCGTGAGAATGTCTAACTTGACAAATAATCAAGAAATAGTAATTAACTTTACGTGCAAAGATTACAAAGGCTTTAAGATTTAAACATTTAAACAAAAAGACACTTAATATCTAGGATAGTAAATAATTAGTACAAGATAATAGCAGCAAAAACCACACTTAGAATCGTCATGGACGGAAGATGATTTGATGCAGAGTTCTTCTTTATTGATTGGTCGGCGTATGTTTGCAACAGGCCGCAAGGGACACTGCGACGCATGTTCGACGATGGGGAATTCCGTATGACATAGCATTTCATGTGAGGCGTGACGTCGACCGGCTTTCCCTTTACGTCCAGCGCATTCGTTACCGTTGTGTTTGTTGTCGTCGTCGTCACTGATGTCACAGAGGATACGTTTCCATTGCCCGCGGGCGCACTGTCATTTGCATTAGTCACATTATTCACCGATGTTACATTAAACATCGTTGCATTGACTGGCACCAATGTACCGTTGGGTAACATCGTGTAAAGTGGGAAAGAATGTTCTACGGGCGGTTGTGGGGGAGCTTCTGCCAAATTTGTAGTGTTTACAACAGTTGTATTAGTCACGGTTGTAGTAGTGACCGTAGAATTCTGTACACCGTTCTGTTTCTTACTTTCTTCCTCGAATATAAAGCTTGTTATTAGTTTACAGTCGATTTTTGTCTCTTCGTAATCCCCGTTGTCTTTTCTAATTCCGAATTTACAAATTTCTCCAGGCTGTGGTTTGTAATTTGAATGTCTGTTTGCATAGAGTCCGCCGGCAAGAGTTCCAAGGTTGAGAAGTGCCAAACCGGCCAGCAACGTACCGTATTTGCTACCAGAATCTTTATATTGGTATACGTATGTGGGCGGAGCGCCACGGTACACAGGATAGCTCACTGGAGGGCCACCATGTGCTGGGGCGTAAGAAATTCTTTGCGGTGGATTATAATTGTAGTGGTAGTGTACGTTGGTAGTATGGCCAACATTAGATCCTGATGGCCCTTTATTTGCCGGATAACCGTGGTTTCCAGATCCTGACAATCCACCTGATGCGGGATACCCGTGACTTCCCGTATTTCCAGACGATGGGTACCCATGGCTACCTCCAGAGGAAGGATAGCCATGACTTCCACCCGAGGGATATCCGGGATTTCCGCCAGAAGACGGATACCCATGACTACCCCCGGATGAAGGATATCCGTGACTGTTTCCAGAAAGTCCACCAGAACTTGGATAGTGATGGCCGCCGCCGCCACCAGAAAGGCCACCCGATTTTGGATAACTGTGTCTACCGCCCGAAACTTTTCTTGCCTTCACTGATTCTGTTACACTGAGCACTATTATTGCAAACAATAATATCTTAAAGTATCTAAACATGTCACTATGATTTAAAACTTTCACCATCTTTACACAAATCACGTTATTCACAAAGACTCTTGCGCATTAAACTAAAGTCAGCTGTTAAAATGCCCAACTAAAAGCAAACCGCGAACTGAAGCATACAAAACAAATATTTCTTTAGAAATAAAAGAAACGTATGACCTGACCACCGGAGGCAAAGAGTAAGTTAACAATGATTAATACTAACGAATTAAAGAACTCGAACAAACGTATTTTGTATGAGGTTTGTCGGCGTAGTCATGGTGTACACGCTTTCTCACTCAGTCATCTTGCTATCTTTTTCTACTATAAGTCACATTTGATCACAGAGTAAATAAAACAGAGTTTAGTATTAATAGTAAATTAGTAAATTACTTGGTTACTCCTGGTAATTCAGGTGGGTGGAAAACTCATTGAAGTAAATATACAGAAAGGAACAATAAAGTACATCTTTCTGCTTTATAACATTAGTATAGAAGTATGAAAAAAAAAACATTTCGCTAATGTGTTGGTATTCATGGTAATTTACTTTTTTTATTGTGGCAGCTATTCGCCGTGCAAATCGTTACTTTTTTTTTGTTCTAAGGCCCAACTCTTACTCGCATCGAATCGCAAACGTTTGACTCATGTCATGTTGATGATGATGAAATAAATGATGAGGTTTAATATATACAGAAACTCGCGTGCAGTAGCTAAACGTTACAATCTGTTCGTTTTTTTTAAAGCAGCAACTCCAAATCCGTTTGATCTTTGTTAAATAAACTTCTAATCTGGCAAGAAGAAGTGTCACTGTCAAATACAAAATATGACATGTCAATGTCAAATACCAAATCCTTGATCCAGTCTTAGATTGGGTAAATAAAAATGTTTCAGAACAAAGAGAAAAGTGAGTATGCGAAAAACATTGTTAATTAGCTCTTAATTTGAAATTGTGGAAGGTCCTTACATCCTCAAGAATGAAACGGAAATAAATTACGGCAAATACCAAAAACATTTGTCACTTGCTTCCTTTAAAACAAATAAAACAAGGTATACTTCATAGTAATTATGATTTACTATATAGTGCCATTAAAACTATGAGAGCTTGCAGAGTAATCAACATTAGGGCACCTCATGCACCCTTTCCCATTCCATTTCCATTTCCACCACCACCACCACCACCATTTCCCTCCTCCTGTAGTTGGCCAACCTACACTTTACTGTTTATTACACTTTATCTTTTTTATTATGTTTCAGAAATGTATGTTTGATGGCAGCTTTATAAATAAAAGTCTCTATAACTTTATCCGTGATTCACTCTTGAACAAGACAGTTAGTCAGTTGCAATGGAAAGTCATTGATTGTATGGACTCACTGGTGATAGTTAGCTTTCACACTGTACCAGTTGATTGACAGTCCAGTTATTGAGCTACTGACCAACTGACTCACCAATTTTGAACCGCACATTGTTTTAATTATTTACATTAAAAGACTTTCCATCTGTTTGTAAATAACAAAAACCATTTGATAATTCAAGATTAGAAAATAAATAATTATTTTTTTCACATTTCAGGTGGCTGATCAAGGATGTGGTGGTATCCTACAACTTCACAGTCATTAGTAGATATTATGGAACTCCGGTTAAACAAAATTTATAATTTGAAAGTTTTGATAAGTCAAGAGCACTTTTGAAATGAATGTTAATATTATTTATTATTATTATTTAATTGAATGCACAATTGTATTATCTCATTTATAAAGTATTTTTCAAATCAAGCTCCATATTCCTAGTGAAAATTTAATCAATACAAGTTTTATTAAAAAACTATTTTATTATACAGTAGATCCTGGATCAAACCTCGGTAACATAAGAACCTCTATAACTTACAATATTTTGTGTTTTCTTGGATTTTAACTTATCAAGGTTCTATTATAATAGAAAAACTGTTAGCTCTAGCTCCATTTAAAACAGCGACTTACATATAATATTTCAGATACATGTATTTGTATTGGTACAGTAGAACCTCGATAAGTTAAAGTCCAAGGGAAACACAAAATACTTTAAATTATAGAGGTTTTATGTTATCAAGGGTCTATGTTACAGAAGTTTTGGAATCTGATGGGAAGGGAACATATTATTTTTTTAAGTTATAAAGGTTTTTATGTTATCTAGGTTCTACTGTACTAGCATAATATTGTATTTCTTTGAACCTTAATGATAAGCATTTTAAGAAAAAAGTAGTAGATAAGGATACTAATTTATAAACATTGTATTTCTACATCATACACATATACTATTGTTTGAAAATATTGTTTTGTTATGTCCTCAACAGCCTCCAACGGCAATTAAGTTAGATTTATTTAAATTTTCCTGTTTATTTGTTTTGAATTGTTTCTTATAAATAACTCTGGGTATTAAAATGATAGTACTTGCTATTGGTATTTTTTTTATTTTATAAACTTTATTACATTTATATACATCAGAATATAATTTTTGAGGAAAATTATTGAAACAAAGCAAGTATGTTATTGTTGGTATTATTTTCATATATCTTGGCTCTTAATTTCATGTGGGTTAAAGGGCTACATAATTTTAGGTATAGTGCGATATGTGGTGGGCACTTAATAGCTCGGTGACACCCTTGGAACACCAAGATATTTGAAATGCATTTTACATATGTTTATTGTTCACTGTTATCCTAAATGAAGAGGTAATCAGTTGATGTGTATTTTGTTTACTTAATTGCATACAATAACATGTAATTTAATACTAGCAAGTTCATATTGAAGAATGTAGAAATTGACAAAAAATTATGTACATTTTGTTGATATCAGTATTTTAGGAATATAGCACTTTTATATCAAATTTGTTACAATAGGAACTCATAGGTTTTTAACTAAAACTACATACTTAAAAACCAACTATAGAAGTAACATACCTATACTTAGATTATTTGTTTGTACATTATCTTTCATACTGCAATAAATATAGATAACCACCAAGGAGGATTGTCAAGCCAAGATTTTATTTTACTCTTTGGTGGTAGAAAACTGCTTTTAATTTCTTTTGGCTTTTCTTTTTCCGGCATCTGGGAATATTTCAATAGAAGACCACAGTCAACTTCGTTTCTTATGAGATGATCCCTTGTAACAATTTCTACTGCACATTCCATGTTGTTTGTGTTTACAGGGGGACCTTTAACCTGAAGTGGGTCAGTAGTGTTTGTAACTGTAGTGCAAGTAGTATAGTTAACCGTAATAACGGTAGTGGGCACTGTAGTGTTAGTTTTTGGCTCTTCATTAGGAATAGACTTGTTAATTTCTGTAGCTAGGTCAATTTTTACAGTCGTTTTATCTATAGAATGTACTGTGTCATTGTTAGGCTGATTAATGTTTAATGTAGCGTTCTGTGAATTTAATGTTTTGGAGACGTTTTGTGATTCAGTAGTCTGTTCAGATACTGTTACATTTTGAGTTTCTTTTCCTGTGATATTTGAAAAGGGTGCGTTATCTGTTGTATTTTGAATAATTGTGTCACTTACGTTTAGTATTTTATTGTGCTCTGTTGTATTTTGTAAAGCAGGCAATGGTGTGGTGATATTTAATGAATTGTTTGGAACAGCAGATGTGGTACTTGTTGCGTTCACTGTTTCTGTTTTAGTATTTACATTTTGAGTAGTTGTATTAGTATAACAAACTGTAGTATTTGTTTGCGTCTGTGTGTAATTAGAACGCTTACCATCTTCAACGAATGTAGAAACAATTTCGCACGGTATTTTTAACACTTCTAGTCTTCCATTCTCCTTGACTCTTAAAGTGCATGTCGCTTTGTCATTAGGCTGTTGGTTGCTTATGTGGCTGTTTCCAGCGTAATTCGGTGAATGATGTCTTGCTCTATAGTAATCATCGTAGTAATAATGGTCGTGGTAGTGATGGCTATGCGAACGGCCCAAGTTGTACAAAGTTAGGCCCGTCAAAATGTCTCCATACCGACTTCCTGAATTGCGATACTCAGTTACATACACATATTGAGGATATGTATGATAATTTGGCGGTAAAACATAAGTCGTATGAGTATTGCCAAGTCCGGTGTGGCTACCGTAACTAGAATGAGAATTGTATGTATGACCGCGACGGTACACAGTCTCATATGAAGGCTTATTAAAGCGGTTGCCGTTCGACGTGGGATTTACTGGTACTCCAGAATATGACGGTGGTTTAGGTCGTGTATTGCCTGAGATACCAATTGAAGGAGGGTAAATGTGAGGGCCAGTGCCAGTTAAACTCGGCTTTTGTAGTCCGGAACCTGATAGTCCAGTAGAAGAAGACGGATAACTGGGTTTACTTGCGCCACCGCCAGACAGTCCCGATGAAGAAGACGGGTAGCTCGGTTTATTCGGGCGTGTTCCTGGTAACCCGAAAGATAAAGTCGGACCTGATAATGCTGGTACGTAACTTGGTTTACTTGACCCAGATCCCGAGAGCCCCGATGACGATGATGGATAACTTGGTTTATTAGATCCAGATCCGGACAAACTTGATGAAGACGACGGGTAGCTGGGCTTACTCCATCCTGAACCCGACAGTCCTGACGAAGATGATGGATAGCTAGGTTTGCTCCATCCCGATCCTGACAGTCCTGAGGAAGATGACGGGTAGCTGGGTTTACTCCACCCAGACCCGGATAGTCCTGATGAAGATGACGGGTAGCTAGGTTTGCTCCATCCCGATCCTGACAGTCCTGACGAAGATGAGGGGTAGCTAGGTTTACTCCATCCCAATCCGGATAATCCCGAAGAAGAGGATGGATAGCTTGGCTTGCTCCATCCCGATCCGGACAGTCCTGACGAAGAGGATGGATAGCTAGGCTTGTTCCACGAGCTCGAACTAGATGAGGGTTTGTAACTTGAATGACTACTACTACTACTGCCCCATCCCCAAGAGTGGCTTCCACTAGATCTCGATCTTCCGCTACTTCTTGATCCAAATCTGCAGTCCACGAGATTTGTTGCCACACACACTATTAACAGGCACAATATGAGTCTATTCGTCATAATGACGTGCTAGCTCTGCCGAGGCAGATTGGAAACTAGATTTTAAATGAATCGCAGTATATATCATTTAAGAGGCTGACGTCAACAGGCAAAATGCCGGGAATACCGATTTGATATACACTCGGCCGCTGGCTTGTTCCAACAACAGATAAAGTTAGGTTAGAGGTGAAGTAAACTTAATATCGAGATGTTTTTACGTCGCCCTGGCTGTGATTGTGATACATACTCGTACGAGTATTATAAATTAAATTCATTTATTTCGGCGCAATATGACATATAGCAAACGTAACGATACAAGAACATAGATAATTATTCGTAAACAATGAACATAATCGATATGATTTCAAATGCTCTATTATTCATAACTTATTATAAAAATATTTAAGTGTGAATATAATGCATCTTGTTTAATTTCATTATGATCATATTTGTAAGAATAAATAACTCTGAACGCTTCCTAAACAGTAATCCAGTTATTTACTATTCGCTTTAGAAACCATATTTCATTTTGATACTGTGATTAATAGGTACAAATCAAAGTTCCATGTCTAATAATAATTAAAACATTGGGATTATCTGCATATCGACGTTAACAAGGTCTTTGTAATAGTAAACACAAAAAATCTGATAGCCTATAAAACTGGACTGTACGGATATCATCAATGCAAGTGAAGTGACTGCAAAATAAAATACTTTTATGGTAGCAATAAGGTTTTATCTTCGAGAACTGAGAGACCCAACTGGGCCTCCAGAGTTTACAAACGTGTGTTACCTAAAGACATCGGTAAAACCGAACGAAGTTGATTGAAGCAGTGAAAATATTGTTAAGAATAAGGTAAAGAGGATGTATTTATGTTTATACGTTATGGTGTTAATGAACGTATTTTCTACTGTATAAGTTTATACACCCAGTCGATAAAGGCTGTTTATATGGAAAATGACTCGCAATATTATCGGAAGTGAATATACTATATGCGGTTAATTACGGGTTTACGTTCAATATCAATAAATATGTTTATTTCCTTAAATAATTATATCTACATGATACCTATCTAGGTTCGAATCCCAGACGAGTTATATTAGGTATTTAAAATTTTATGTTCAACATTCTTGGGAATATGTCATAACTATTGTTAAGAAAATATAACAAAATCATTAATTACAAGGTTGCATCGCAAATTTTGTAAGTACCTATTTTCATCTACCTACTACAATATTATTTACTTCCAGTCCATAAACGAACAATATCATATGCCTTATTCTGATGTAAATTTTTCTATTCAAAGGTGTATCTCAACTAAAACAATAAGTTGTTAATCCGCAACAAGGTATCTGTATCCAGGTGTAATTGCCGATACGAAGGTCGACTGAACTCGTCCGTCTTTGCGGTAGTGGCAAAGAATTGTCACGGCTATCGTTTAGTTCCGATCATGATGTCATCACAGTTGCACATATAAAATGTTGCTCGCAGTACTTTTTAATATTCTTTTTATATCAACCGTTACATGTAAGGAAAGTGCAAAAACTACGAAACCCTATATTGTATTTCCGGTGCCGTTCGATTTACCGAATCGAAATGATCGAGCGACACAATGCTGGTTACGGATCGAAGACGAGGATGTGATAGAGACGGTAGCTATATATTGTACTATAGCGCAGGCGTTTCTTCGTAAATATATCCATGATTACAACTCGAGGAAAATAACTGAAGACGATGTTGAAGTTAGTTTGTGGAATGAAGACCCTTTGCCTATTGAAGACGTTATGTTCAGATTTCCGAATGGCGATCAGGATATAAAGGATTGGAAGATGACAACAGTGCTGGATCCTATTACGCGTATGAGGATATATGTGACTCAAAAGGCGTTGTGTAAAGTGATAATGTACAGTAGGGAAGGGGTGACAAATTATAAAGTTGATTGTGATAAAGTTTTGTATTATGTTAACGATCGCACTTACAGCGGTGCAACAATGTGTTTGGGACTTATAAAAATACTTATTTTGTTTATTAGTTTGCTGTACTTAGTTTAATGGACTGTTATCCTTATCAGGTTATAACCTGTTATGAGTAATTTATTGAGTTGAATAATGTTGCAAAATGTTAAGTGAAAATATAATAAAATTGTATTAAAAATGACTTAAAACTAGTATGTTTATTAATTATAACATTTCTATTTTCATTATAATTAATTGCGATATCTTATAATAAAAAAAAATATAGTTGTAAACTTCATTATTCAATTATATTTACTTAAGGACACATCTGTGTAGCTAAGGTCAGCACATACGAATGGTACCTACAGACATATCGATAACAAGGTTTTAAGTAAAGTAATGAAAGCTATACGATTTTCTTGGACAATTAATATACATAAAAGTGATTAACGAGCATATACGGTTGTATTAATTAAGCTGAGAACGTAACTATACATGTTATTTAACTCTCATCAAAACGGATGGTAATTTGACAGTTTGACTTTAGCATTTTTATTTGAAACTAGCTTTCGCCCGCGGCTTCGTCTGCGTGGAATTAAATAAAAAGTGAGAATCAAATTGTTTAAACTATCGTGAGACATTACTTCAAGCGAAAATTAATTAAAAAACGGCTCAACTCACGCTTTGTTCCTCCGGTGACGGCACCGACTAGTTTCGGATCCTTCTTCTTCCTTCTTCTTCTGAAGAAGGATCCCCGAAGGATCCGAAACTAGTCGGTGCCGTCACCGGAGGAACAAAGCGTGAGTTGAGCCGTTTTTAATTAAAAAGTGAGAAGCCGTATGTGTTTTACCAGACTATCCTATATATCTTAAAAAATATTAAAATCCGTTCAGCCGTTTAGGCTACAAGCCCTAAAAAATATCCGTCTATCCATCTAAACTTTCGCATTTATAATATTAATAAAGTATGATATGTCAATCTTTAGCCTATCATTTTAATCCCAATTTTTTTATGTTACCGTGATGTCATCACAACTATTTTTTAATAATATTTGGTATGGTACATACCATATACCGATTGGTAGCGGTGTTGAAGATTCGAACTAGCAACAGATATCTAAGTTAGAACTAAGCAAAAGCTATTATTTCCAAGCAACGGGGTATATTTAAGATGTTAGAGGTTCAACCATATAAGCCTAGTAGTAATTTTGTTTTAAAAATGAGATGCAATTGAAGGGCCGACTGCAATAGGCAAACTTGTGTGCTCGCCTGTGACGCCAATGGACCGTGTCAATGACAGATCACCGCACGTGAGTCATTATAAAAATAACTAGCTGTCGCCCACGACTCCGTCCGCGTGGAATTAAAATAATCAAAAGTGAGTAGTCTATGTGTTCTACCAGATTATCCTCTACATTTTTTTCAAATTTCATCGAAATCCGTTCAGACGTTTAGTCTACAATCTCTAATAAGCATCCATCAATCTAAACTTTCGCATTATTACTAGTTTTCGCCCGC